TGACATATCTGGAACATTGTTTATACATTCATTGTGTGTGATTGCATTCAACAGAGCTCTAGGAAAACACATTACATATTAATTGGATACATGTGAAAATTACATTCAGAGGCACATTCTGTATCTCGAACTTCCAATATAATAGACGATATAGGAAATGTACTGAAGTACTGGATTATGGATGTTTCTACGTGTTTTCTGCAGCAGCAGAGATTATGTGACAATGAGTGCTGACGGGTGTTGAACATTTGTAGGAAATATCTATCATCTGTTATTTCTATTGATTTAAACAGCACCCATGGTGCTGTACAAATTATAATAAAGCAATGGTTAGATCCTTAATAGTTTTTTTGCTGTCTGTTTTCCCTGTATTTCCTGACCTTAAGAAACAGCATTGAATGAGTAGAAATATCTGCAAGTGGGAGTAAATGCCCTCTCAGACAGTTGTCATTGAAATAGCAATCTCCATTGGAAGATTTCCTCTCACCTCCTGTTTTGATCACAACTGTCAAATTTTTGATTTTCTATCACTGTTTGTCCTGTTGGGAACAGTAAGCAAGGCAAATAACAGGAGAATTGTATTACCATACTTACCACAATTTTCCTTTCCTGACAGCTCCATGGCAGCACACGAATGTGCTGCTATGGAGCTGTCAGGAAAAAGAGGGTGGATCTTGCAGTGAGGACATAGGTGGCAAAAAAAATCTGGCAGGGATTCTAACGTTTAAAAATAATCTAGCTATATATACACTTTAAAGCTGAACCCCAGGCATAAATACTGCATAAAACACTGTGCATCTATTGCCTTTGCAAACTTTAAAAAAGTAGCAGTGACATCATTACTGTGCTGCACTTAGCCTGTGCAGAGAGCATAGCAGTAGTTCCCACTACAGGAGGGGGGCAAATACAAGACTAGTCACCCTGAACAAGAAGAGAGAGCAGCAGTGACCGACCTTTATTACAGAAGGGGGACAGAGACATAACCAGTCACCCTGCATAAGGAGAGAGAGAGCAACATGGACTGGTCTTTGCTACAGGAGGGGCAGAGACAAGAACAGTCACCCTGTACAAGGAGAGAGAGCAGCAGTGACTGGTCTTTATTACAGGAGGGGGACAGAGACATAACCAGTCACACTGCATAAGGAGAGAGAGAAGCAGTGACCGGTTTTATTACAGGAAGCTCCTGCACAGAGACAAAGTGTCACACCAGATTACTGCACAGATCTGGAAGAAATACATAAAGCACACCATGATTTAAGTAAGAATACACATGACCCTTGTACTTAAACAATATTTGCTTATCCTGGAGTTCAGCTTTAACACCTGCTTGTCTCAGAAACACTCAACTTGTCCCATCGCTTGGTTTTATCAAGCCATGCGTGCCAACATTTTCTTACTATGTACTATGAACAGTATCATCCAGCCTCTAAGTCTAAATGTAATTGTTGTGGTTTCTTTGCTTTGTCTTGTGTAACACCTCAAGGGTTTTCCTTTTTCATCCTCCTCCCTCCATTTTGAGCTTCTGAGCCCGGGGAGATGCATTAATGTTGTCATTATTAATAATTTACAGTGTATCTTCATATTTGCAGCACTTTGCAGTTTAGAAGTAATAATTGCAGAGCTATCTCACCGAGAGCCCAATACAGATGGATTCTGCCCCTGCTGGGTACTTGTGCCATCTGCAGGGAGTCTTATGAGACATAAAGCATTCAGAATAATGGCAGGCAGCCGGCTTTATATGCTATGTGCTGGCTGTTGAAGGCCAAAGATTCATAATTACGTTATGGCATTCTCTCTGTTGAATCCCAATCTTCCTGAGTCACATGGCCTATTCTTTCTTATGCTCATCTAAAAGATGTCAAACGAAATCCTTTTAAAGCCCAATTTTCCCGTTTAATTTGGCTAAATGGGTATAGTACTAGAGAAATAAAGGGATAACAACACTTACAGTTGAACACAACCAATTTAGAGTACACAGTTGGGTGTGGAGTACAATATAAGGCCTTAGAGGGTAACGCGGTCTTAGCACAGGAGGGGCATTATAATTTATATCACATTATACACTTTAGTGGTTTTGTAATAGTTCTCTTTTTTAGGGAGGGAGCATTTTAAGAAATAGGAATATATTTTTGGAATAGAAACAATAGGGAATTCACACACAGGAGAGAGTACACGGAGTATGATAAACACTTATGAAGTTAAGTCACATATGAGGGAAGAATTAGTAAAGGGTTTTTAGTGGACTCACTTTCTGCCTAGAGTTCACCTTCCTCCTTAACAGAGGAGTAGATCCTGAATGAATGAAGAAATGGGTGTTATGGTAATAATGAAATACGAGGTTATGTAGCTTTTTTCCTTTTAATATATCTGTTTACACCCAGAAGTTTGTATATGTGTGACGTATATATGTATATTGAAATAAAGATATATTTACCAAATTTGGCTAAATGGGTTCGAGTAGCATCAAAACAAAAGGTGTTTAAAGTCTTACAGTTCATTTTTCTGAGCAGGAAAGCCTATGACCTGTCAGCATGCTGTAGAGAAGGACATTGTTCTCTGTGGGGAAGCAGGGATCTCTCAGCAGAGGTCCAACATGTCCCTTTTGAGTCAGAGCTAGAGCTCTCCAATCAGCACAGAGCATGAGCATGGTTGATTACAGAGTTAAAGGTCTAACTGACCAGGTGGCATGTCGAACCTCTGCAGAGGGATCACATTGAGAGCAAAGGTCCTTCTCTGCAGCATACTGGGTGTCTGGTCATCAGTCTTCAGTCATTTCAATCACTAGCTCCAAATAAAAAATGCAAGACAGAGTATTGGTACATCTGACTTTTCCCTGACTTGCCTGAGGCAGTGGCACAGAAAGTAAGCCATAGGGTCAACATAACAGCCAGGCAATAAGCACTTTCAATAGAAGGCCAGCAGTTAAAGCCCTCATATTTCTTTAAAGACAAGTTACCTGTTTCATGTTGCTTAATTAGACTTACTTGGCTGTTTTTGTAACCTGAAAAATGTTTTCCTTGTGCTAGGTAACTCCAGTTGGGTGGAACTGCTACCTGTGGCCGCTGTCAGCGTTCACCTCTTCACTGGGAATGGCTCTGAAGTCAATCTGGTTGGTCCTGCTCAGCTGTCTCTCCCCCTCCCCTCTGACAGCGGGATCACACCCTCCAGCAGCATACCCGCTTGGAAGTTTGACCCAAAGAACGGTATGTCGGCACCCATAAAACAGATAAAACTAATACTGGACAGCTGTGTGACTATTGCATAATGTTTTTGATCTGATATCATTGCTCTTTCGTACCCTCTACACCCATTTCTTCCTCTCCCCCACCCCACCCTGACATGGGTTCCCCTTGTTGTTTCCTCTCCCAGGTTTGTGGACCCGTTCTGGCATGGGTGTGGTGCGGAGAGATGGACAGCAGCTGTACTGGTCATTTTCATCCCCGAAACTGGGATACTGGGTGGCCGCCATCCCCTCCACTGGTCGAGGTAAGGCTATTTTGCTGTTTTCTATGATGTAGTCTGGTTTCTTTACTTTTTCTTTTCTTGCCAGGGCTGACCACTCTTTCTGGAACCTGGTGTTGCAGGGAGAGGGGGCACTCGCTCGTCCCCCCCTCCCCCTTTTTACTGCCCTAGGCAGCTGCCTGGATTAAGGGTCTGGTTGGGAATTTTAGGGGGGACCCCACCATTTTTGGGAGTGGGGTATCTCCTTTAAATTCCTACCAGACCTAAAGGGTCTGGTATGACTTTGGGGGGGAACCCCACGCACTTTTTTTTTTATTCTTAACTAGGGGGTCCCGCCTAACCTTCCTACCAGACCTAAAGGTGTTTTTTTTTATTTGTTTACATTAGCGGTGAGAACAGCTTGCTTCGATAGGCCATTCTCCCCACTTCGGCTGTGACGTTGGCTCTGCCGAACAGAAGCACATGTGTTCGGCACGGCTGCGCTGTTCGCCTGCTGTACGCTGTGTGAATAGCCCGTACAGCAGCCCTTCGGTCCGGCTGTACCGAAGGGCTCCGGCGGCCGAAGTAAACCAAAGGATTAGCCAAAGCTTCGGCTTAATCCATCGGCTCTTCAGTGAATAACCCTCTAAGTTTCAGAATAGCAGCATGTTATGGCCACTAGAAGGAGCCGAGGAGCACTGGAATTTCCTATGCTGCTCAGCTCCATCTAGTATTATTATTATTATACAGGATTTATATAGCGCCAACAGTTTGCGCAGCGCTTTACAATATAGGGCAGACATTACAATCACAATACAATTCAAGACAAGATGGTAAGGAGGGCCCTGCCCCTGAGGGCTTACAATCTAAAAGGGAGGGGGAAGTGATACATGAGGAGGGAGCTGCGTGGGGATGAATTGTTTGAGAATGTGATGGTTCAGTGATTAGGTTGAGGTGGGATAGGCTTCCCCGAAGAGATAAGACCCATCCACTGGGTCATCCAAATACCTACATATTGTGTAGTACATTCCTTAATCTAAAACGTATGTGTTTGCAGAGCCGTTTGCTCTGCAAATGTTTTATAAATATACCCCATAAACTTGTGGATTGTCATATCATGTGCATCTTCTTGCAGTCTCCACCATAACAACCAATGGAAAGGAGGTCCTGTCTTTGGAACATTAAGGCATTAGATGACAGTTCATTCAAGTATCAGTGTACTAAATGACAACGACAAACCCCCTTCCTTCTAAAGTTGGGTATACACTAGTCAATTTATTTTGTTCAGCTTCAGGCTGAGCAGATACAAAAAATAATAGATTCCTCCATTCACACTGTTCAGAAATCTCCCACTGTAGCTCACCTGGCTGTCAGACTAGCTGAATAGTGCCTGCATTGGCTCCCTTGATTTTTCAATCCAAGGATGTCGTGCAGAAGCTGTGGCAGACAGGGCAACCCACTGAGCAAATTATGAAGAAGGATCATCAAGAACCGGCCTGAATTCGTTCAATGTATTGCCAGCTTTACTCCCATTTCCTTTTTACTTAGATGTCCCCAGTCGGGGCAAAAACACTGCACTGTAACAGCGTGAATGGGGCAAATGCCAGATGTGTCACTCTTGCCTATTCTAGAAGGGAACTGTAGTTCATACATATGTCACATAGTTGTTACCAGTTTTTATCAGATTTTTAGTTCTTGTGCATTGCCTCATTGTACTCAGCCATGGGGTGTCTTTCTTACACTTTGTTTTCTCCTTAGGTATGCTGTCACTTATGAGTGGTGTGGACATAGCTGGCTACCATACTATCTTCCTGCTCTCTATTCTGGGTGCTCTTACGCTACTGGTCCTCATCCTGCTCTGCCTCCTAATCTATTACTGCAGGTAAAATGTCTCCCCTTTCTGGCCATTAGTGCTTTGACATTCCCTACACTCAATCCAATGCTGCCATTTTACATCCACTTACTAAGAGCTCTAACTAAAGCTGGCAGAGATAGGGGTAGAAGCCTCTTTCACCTCAGTGCCTGTGCTACTTCACTCTCTATTTCTTAAAGTACACCTGTCATACATGTTAGTGCATTGCCAATGTAAATAACAAGCAAGCACTATAGGATGTCCAAAGTATTCCCAAAACCTGAGGCTCGATCATTCTGAAAAGATTTGATCACGCTAGAGGTGACTTACCCCTCCTGCAACTTCTTGTTGGCCAATTAAGTCATCCATTTGCGGGGAATAGCAAGGTGTGGAAGGCAGGAAGTAGTGGGGGCAGCTGTAGACTTGACCAAGACTTTGACATAGGATATTAGTGTGTCCAGATAAGTGGAGGCCCCTGGGAGTGCCTGTTTTTTGATCATGTTGACACTTCAGCATGTCTATAGAGCTGACCAATTTACCTTTATGTTCCCTTGATGAGAGTTTTTGTCCAACTCTGCTCAAGCACTGGGCTTTGGAGGCAGCCATCTTTGTAGAGGATCGAGGCTTTGCTTCCTCATGTCAGAGCTACCCCCCTGGTTATTGGTGATATGATAACTTGTAGGGTAATGATCGAGCAGCAGCAGGAGAGGTGCAGAAAGCACAGAGCCACAGGATGACTGAAACAGAAGCAGGGAGATCCTTGCATTGCAGGTACTCAGGTAAAGCTTCCTCTCCAGTAAGGAGAAGAGTAAGCAGCACAGTAGTGGCATCACCAAATCTCACTCCAAATTTCTTGACACTAGCAGTCAAGAGGCAGGAGTGAGTTAGAGCTCACCCTACTGATACACAGCTTTGAGCCTAGACACAGGAAGTTCACTTCTTTATTTCAGGAGGAATTAATGTGTATGTGTATTGAACACTTTTTTTTTGATTGAGTGGAGAATGCTTAGAACCCCTGTCAGGTTGTAATGCTATTCATGGCTCCATTAGAAAGAGTTTGCCTAATTTCCTGTTCTGGGGCCAAGGTTGCACAGACAGGGTGTGAGGGAAAATCTGCATCAGGGAAATAGACAACACATTGTCTTTAAGTTTAGAAGAGACAACCAAAGCATGAAGCAAGCAAAGGATATACTGATACAGCTCTGTTTTACTCATTCCTCTCCCAGCATTACAGAGCTTTATGCATCACACTTACACAAGGTCTAGCTCATAACACCCTTACTGGTATGTTCATTTTCTCATAACTTGTCATCTGTTTGCAGGCGGCGCTGCCTGAAGCCAAGACAACAGCATCACAAACTGCAGCTTTCTGGCGTCTCTGAGCCAAAGCGGGACCAGGCCACCTCGACCTCCCACCTTAACCTCATCAGCACTAGCCACCTGGATTCTACATCCACAGCTGATAGTGACCTTCGAACTCCAGTCTTACGCTCTGCTTATTCTTCCCGTGAAGACTTTTGTAAATCCGGTGGACGTTCTTCCATCCAGCATTCCACAGACACTCTTCCTCTAAGGCCAGGACCTCGAGAAGATTACCCACTAAAGTCAGCCCGCTCTGGTGACCTTCTGGAGTCAGAAGACCTTAAACGGAACTATGGAAGTGGAGGGAAGGGGCAGCAGAGAAGGAGAGGAGGTAGAGGAGGAGTTAGAGATCCACCTCCATCGCCTCCTCCACTTCCACCCCCCTTCAAACATGTAATCGGTGACTCTAAACCTCCTGATTATTTGATGACCCAATCAGCAGATCCACTGTCACGCCCCACTTCTTTGACACAACCCGGACAGCTGATATTTTGTGGATCCATTGACCACATGAAGGAGGGAGGGTACAGACATGCCATGCCAACTTTGGTGATTCCAGCTCATTACGTAAGGTTGTCATCAGAAGACAATCCAGCTGGGCAGGGTGAGGACCAATCTGAGAGTGAATCTATGTCATCACAAGCTTCACATGCCCACCATTTTGCCCCTCAAGATCATGCTCAACGTCAACAGCTGCTTCAGCAAGGTCACAACTACCAAGGAGGACCCACCGGCTCAGACCAGGGACAGGAGGGAAAAGGTTGGAGCAACCACTCTTCCCAGATGAGTGGATCAGTCACCATACCTGTGGTTTTTAATGAATCCACAATGGCTCAACTCAATGGAGAGCTCCAAGCACTTACAGAGAAGAGGCTTTTAGAACTTGGCGTGAAGCCTCACCCAAGAGCCTGGTTTGTGTCTTTAGATGGACGTTCCAATGCCCTGGTGCGTCATTCTTACATTGACCTGCAGGCTGGTGACAAGACACGCAGTAACGATGCCAGTCTGGACTCAGGTGTGGATGTTAATGAGATTAAAATAAAACCTGGATCAGAAGAAGGGAGAGGTGGGAGGTCTCAACACCAACCTTCTTCTTTGACCTACTCCAAGCTGGTCTTTGCTGAAGAAGGGGAACAGAGTCTAAGTGAGAGTCGGACTGGAGGTGGCTGCTCGCCTGAAGATAGCTCACTCACACCACTTCTGGACGAGACTTCCGAGACTTGCCTGAGTATGAATCGGAGAGGGCGCAGCCGGGGGGACAGTTCCCGCAGCAGCACCAGCGAACTACAAAGGGATTCAATGACCAGCCCTGATGAGGACCTTAATGACCAGTCTGAAGGTGGGGATGACCAAGATAAGAAGAGCCCCTGGCAAAAGAGAGAAGAGAGACCCCTGATGTCGTTTAATGTAAAATAATGAGGGATTTCTCAATTCTCGTTCTGTGTATAGGACATACCCCTCAAAGGACTGCGGGGAGAAAACGCAGGGATGGCCCCTGAATCCGAAGGCCGGGCCGAAGAATGAAAAAGACCTTGCCCCATCTCTCCCCTAACCTCGAGGCACGGCCCCAGAATTGGAGAGTTCCTGTGTGGAAGACCAGAGGCACCGCGATCTATAAACATCCAGAAACATACCATGCCCACACCTCAACATGCATACTGCCAACATGGTTACTAACATGCACTCATGTATATAATACACACCTGCAATATTCCTTACACACTTACACAGGTGCTTAATGGTCCTCTGGTAACTGGGAGTCTATGACACTTCACGGTGAGACCCTCAGTGTGACCAGCCTCCTCTTTGCAGAGGTAGAGCAGATAATTGATTACAATGGACCTTTAACCTTGACGTTGTCTTCTATTTCCCTTTAAATAGTAATACAAGGACAAGAGAAGCAGGCCAAGCTCGCTGGAAAATGGAGAATCTTTCGGTTTCATCATCATGTCCTCTGTGGAGGTTTTTGATGTAGCAGGGCAACTTAATGGCCCATGGCATCTCCCAGTAACTCATGCTTTGTGGTCCTAGTGTTTTGTTTGTGTAAGGTGTGTGGAAGATCATAGCTTGCAATGCATTCTGGTCCATAGTCCTCATTTAAAAGAGCCATGTAACTACTGTTTTACTGGCTACACTGCATTGTGGTACCATCTACCCCCCTAACCATGGAAACCACATCTATTTTTCACAATGCATCAATGTAGCTCTTGCAATGCATTGTAACCATCGTGTACCCCCTTCCATCTTAATATTAGCCAATAACTTGCAATGCATCCTGGTCAACATGCAGTAGTATTAAGGTACTTGAGATATTTAATGATCCTCCTTTTTTTTGCAACGCATTATGGTCTTTGAAATTTGACGTTTCTAAAAAAATATTCCAACTTCTTTTACAAAGCATTCCAGATATTGTTGTTCTGATGATCCTTAGAGGGATGCTGATTGTATTGCAAGAAGCTAGCCCCTTAGCGATTTCCCAAGGAAAACAGCACAAGAAATCAAGTGTATTTGTCATGTTTAAATAGTACTGCCGTTTGCTACAAACCTTAATAATAAAAGGTGATAAAAAACAAAGTTTGTTCTGCAAACTAGTGGGAATGCCTAAAAGTACACACCATTCACACTTTAGCATGGAGTTTCGTATAAAGAACAAAGATTAGCCGTCCAGGTCTTTTGTTTTCCATGCCATGTAAAACCCTGTGGTAGGTGGTGCTCTTAGAATGCCTGATTACAGGCCAGGGATTCCTAGCTCCACCCATCAAGTATAAGTCAGGTATCTCCACAATTGTGCAAACCTCTGATCATTCTGAATGGAATTGTTTACACGTTTAACCCGCTGCTTCCACTGCAAGGTCAAAACATTGTGTGTAGGAAAGATGGCTGCATGGCACGAAATGCCTGGTGAGAGTCTGTAGTCCCCACCATGGACACTGTAAAATACAGTGACCAGCGATAACATTACGACCACCTGCCTAAAATGGAGTAGCTCCCCCTTTTGCTGCCAAAAGAGCCCTGAGCCTTCAAGGCATGCATTCTACTAGACCTCTAAAAGTATGCTGTGGTATCTGGCACCAAGTCGTTAGTAGGAGATCCTTTAAGATCTGTAAGTTGTGAGGTGGGGCCTCCATAGATCGGACTTGTTTTTTAGCACATCCCACAGGTGCTCGATTGGACTGAGATCTGGAGAATTTGGAGACCAAGTCAACACCTTGAACTTGTTGTTGTGTAGCTCACACCATACTTGGACCATTTCTGCAGTGTTGCAGGGCACTTTATTCTGCTGAAAGAGGCCACTGCAATCAGGGAATACAATTTCCATTAAGGGGTGTATTTGGTCAGCAACAATGTTTAGGTCGGT